TTTCATAAGACCTTGTCCCCGGTAAACTATGAATGGTTCGCCATGATCAGTATCAAACTGTTGTTGGTGTAGCTGTTGGATTTGTTGATGCAGACGACACATAAAAAAACCCATAGTAATAATTGCATCAGCGTCGAGTGTTCGAAGAGCATAATTGAGCATAGAATAGATATTGAATGAAGTATACCACCAAATAGCGGACTGAGCCTGGTAGTTTTTCTCAAAACGATCAATATTGATTGGTGACATACTGTTATTTTTTCGACAATAATTAATAAACTGTTTGATCGCCTGTTCATCATGTTTCATATCAAGAAGAATATCCTTGAATATTTGAGTATACATAAATGTTGGTTCTAATTGATTCAAATTATCAGTTGATGCCATTTCATTTACCGTAATAAAACTCATGGCAATCGAATCTTGATTGAATTGCTTGATACCGATTTTTAATGATTGGCATAAGTCATCGATGTTAGTATGAACGCTCTTGATTTTTTGCCATTTTGTTGTCCATTCTTCATGCTGGGATTTATTGTTACTGAAGATATAAACACTACACAATTCAGGGATATCATTAATCAGGGGCATTATTTGTTGAACCATAGTATTCTTGACAATCAGAAAAGACTTGATATTTTCTTCAGCATCTGTAAGAAAGTCGATACACTCGTCTCGTTGCCTAAAGATATCGGCATTGTCAGTATTGGTTTGTAATTGTGTGAAAAGACTTTGATATTCTTGGTTCGTTTCATCCATACACTCATCCAAACAGAGAAGCGAATAATTTCGAACCATTCGTCGCCTTTGTGGAATAGTATCCGATGGTATTATGGTCGTGTTGTTGTTATTCATGGGCACGTTTGATGATAAATAAGCTCTTGAATTGGATCTTGATTCACTCGTTCGGTCCTTTTTATACTTTGATGTTGAATATAAACTCAGCAATGGCGTATTTTTTCAGTCTTTTTTAACATGCAAAATGTGTGTATATTTTTCTCAAGGCTCAATAAGAAACTTCAACTAGTTACTTTTTAAAATACTGTTGTGAAGAACAAGAGATAGATTAGTACAAATAAATTTCTTAACAACATTTGCGATCGAACGAAATCATTTCGTTTTATAGTTACTCTCTCCAACTTTTTTAGTCTTATCTATACAATTATTTCAGTAATTCAATATACCACCTATATTTTATCATTGAAATGAAATAGAAATACAAACATGATTCTTTTAGTAAATGTTGCTTCTCTTTGTCGTACATCATTTGTTAGAACAAAAGAACTGCATCAGAGAACGAGATATAGCTATTGATTGTGGAATATCGTAAGAGCTTTGTTGTTTTCTGTTCGAAAAAGAAATGTATTTCATACAAACATATTGAAAATAGTTTTTAAAAACTACAAAATTGTTAGACCTAAAGGTGTTAAAAAGCTTGTTGATAGATGGTAATGTGGTATATTATCTATCAAATTTGATAATTCGAGTCTTATTATTTTAACTTAGAATATTATTTATGTACGGAGAACAAAATTATCACACATTCATAATGGTAAAAATAACTGAATATAAACGTATTATCGGTCTTATCGTATTGTTAATAATAGTTGAAAAATGAGCTTGCTTACAAGAGAGAAACGGCCGAAAGTTTATTGAATTGTCTATGAAACGATGTTGTTATTTGAACAGGAGCAAACCTTTTCTGTGCGGTATTCCAATGAAAGTTTGTTTTACCATTAGAGTGATTAATTTATAAAATGATTTTTTATTATTAAATCGTTTACTGTTTATTCTTTTATATATCAGTACAACTATTTTAACATAATATGGATGATCTTGTTGTGATAAACGGAATAGTGTGTATATATAGTAATAGAGATCACCAAAAGTGAATGAGAATGAAATTCACAAGATTTTATTTAGTCAAACACATCATAAAAGAGTAATTAATAACGCTTTCGAACCATACAGAATTCATGCAAAACTTTGCATCATCGAGTGTGTGGGTGTGCGTGTGGGTAGACGTGAGTATTATGTCCATCTCACACCTACACCCACACTCATATCCACACCGACCCACACTCTTAAGAACTTGATTCTTCGCTCAACAGATTTGTCGTCATAAGTACTATTATAATTATGCAAATTATATTTTTCTTATTTTATTATATTTTCAAGGATCTTTTGAAATGAATAAATGATGTAGATGTTAATTAAAACTAGTCATCTATAAGTGATTGTCAATATATATATATTGATTAGCAGATGAAAATAATACAAACAATACAATTTCCAAGTAATCGACAGATTAATAAAGAATAATATTAATATACACCTACTTATAATTATGTGAGATATTTATTTACCATTAACAATCAATTTCATGAAAATAAATCAGAAATATCTATCAATGATTATATTCAGAGATCTTTCTCAATTTTATAATTATTTCTGATCGACAAGATTTCATTCATTTCAGAACATAAAATTTGTAGGTTGTTGAATTCTATAACTCTTTATGGAAGCTATTATTTACAGTGCTGATACTCTAACACAGACCTTTGAAAAAAAGAATAGCTTTTTCAAAAACTATTCTTCTTTAATTACCGTAATATTATCATCTAACGACATATATCGCAATGTTGCTCCGAAAGAATATGAGAGAGATATATATCCAAGTATCGTAAATCTTATCTACAATAACAAATATCGTGTCTTTCCGCGAAAAAGAAATGTTAAAATAATGTAGTTGATTGTTATAGTTATATAGGCTATTTCTTTTTCATCCTTTTATTTGATATTGATAAAAGTACATTTGTTTTTGAATTTCCAACATCTACGAATGCATTCAAGTCCTGTATATTCAATAATTCTATGTCTGTTCTGTATGTGGCAATCACATATAGAATTAATTATTACACGATCTATCAACTCAAATAACTTTTCAATAATAACTTGCATAGATTATTTAAATCATACATACATACACTATTAATGACAATCCTAATCTTGATATTAAAATTGTAAGCAAGGGAAAACTTGTTAGATGAGCATCGAGACTTTATTTTGAACAACCCAGTGCGTATCTATTATTTTGACCAGAAGACTTTAATCAACTTCAAATATCCAGAATAGCAGCTTGTAGATGAGTGGATTTCGAGTCATAAATCAAAATTATCTAGTATGATATGTAGTTTACTGATGTCACTCAGAATTTTTCAATACTCCATAGAATTCTTATCATGAATCTCTCAACAGAAATCATTATTAAAATCCAAATTGAAATTCTGAGATATTAGATATCAAAAATGAAAATCTGTCATTTTAGGATCATTTTCTCTAAGCACAGTGTGAATTAAAAAAAGAACAAAACTAAACAAGATACAATGTCATTTCTATCTCTACCACACCATATTAATGAATTTTTCAAAAGTTTAAAAATTTATCATGAAGCAAGTTGAGTTTTGAACATTTTTACTCGAATATGCTTATAAATGTGTGTTGAAAGTGGATTTATGTAAAATAAAACTATATTATTGCAACTATAGGATTTTCTTTTCATCATGTATATTTCATCATAGTATATTCAATATGAACATATTATTGCTTACTTGTATTGCTTTTTCTAAAAGATTATTACTATTCAATATTGCTAACAATTATTTGTTGATTCTAATGAAGAATTCAATCATAAATTAGTTACTCAGGAATTAGTAAAAGATTCTATGACTAATTTTGTGTTTCGAGATAATTAAAACAACAAAAAAAGAATAAGTTAGGCGTCACTTCTTTCTAACAAGTGTTTTACAGTTGATAACAGATAATGAATCATCAGTGTTCTTTCAACATATGATAGTTTGAATTCTCGATTTCAATAATATAAATTTGATTTTATTCTACTATAATGGTGAATGTTGAGAACTTTTTGAAAACCTGAAAGTCGTTATTTTGAAATCAAGCTTCGCATCGTACTTCGTAGACGAGTCGAGACTCGTGTGTCATCTAGTTTTATATTCACTGTTTTCTTTTATTATCTAATCAATTCATACTCAATGTTAATAAAAAAAATTTATGATGTATTCTTTTTTTGAAGACAATTGATAATTTATTATTTCACCCGCTTTAAATATCTAAAAATCAAACTAGATTATTATTTTTTTTCCTATTTTCTTTACAAATGGTACCAATAAAAAAAGCAGCAAGTGATACACATTTACATCATCATAAATCAATATCAGTATTATTACCATTAGATCCTAATTTATCCAGAAACTCAAATAATATATCATCAAGACAAAAAAGTCATAATTATTCGTTTGAAAAATCAATTGATGATAAATATGAAATATTCTCGAATAATAATTTAATAAGTACACATTTTCCAATAGCAAATATACAGCAAGGTAAATCGGAAATATATTAGAAAATTATACAAATTTATTTTATTCTAAGATACGATAGTGGTTAGTAAAACATCATCATCATCTCAATTACCAACAGTACCTAAACAAGCAGGTACATTTATTCATCGTCTTGTTAATAAACTTTTTTCCATAAGTAATACAAATCAAAGTAAAAAAAATGTATCTCGTTTGAAACGAATACAACATGTACAAACGAATACGAATATATTAAATACGAGAAATATATCGGATGATAGTCATACATATTTAAATATTTCATCGAAAAAAAGAAAACGACGACAACAACAATGTTCAAAACCAATGACTAATAATAAAAATTGTGCTGTATGCCGAAAATATCGAAATCATTTTGCATCTTCATCCATCAGTAAAATACAATCTTTACCTAAACATTCTTCTGATTGTACATCTCAATCACCTGTAATATTTAATAGTAATGCAACAACAACTCAAAATCATCAATTAACTTTAACCACTGAACCATCTGTAACATTAATTAAAACACAATTAGAAAAAAAACAAACTTCATTGAACAGATCACAATGTCAAGTAATTGCTTCAGCAGTCGAACTCATATTTGATACATTAATATCAAATTATCAATAAATGTTATATTTTTGCATATTTAGTACTATTGTCCTTGAATCAAACGAGATGACATTTTCTTCTGAAGATAGAAAAATAATGCATAGTCTATTTACACACAAACAATCGGAAAACTTTTATTTGTTATACCGGAGGGCATCATAAAGATTTAACTATATTACGATCGTATATCTCTGTGCTCTAACAAACATATAATCATTTCGCTATATACTTTTAAAGTTCAGACAGAAGTGGCACATAATAACTGATTTTGCTAACTCATAAAATTTCATTCGATAGACTTTGGTTATAATATATATATATTCGAATATTGTAATAAAACGATTTTTTAATATCACCAAAAAAGAATTTCAAATATGTTTCATTCAATCCAATAACCAATAGATGAACTATAATGTGTATATTCATTCCACGTATAACGAACAAATAGACGTACAACAATTAAGAAACAAAAAGAAAAAATATTCGTTTATATGATAATAGATAAAAGGAAGTGAGAGTTAGAGATTCATTCAATATGTCACAACGGAAATAAAATGGAATATATATGTGAATCTGACACGAACAAAAAACAAA